TTATTGTTAAAAAGAAAACCACAACACTAGATGTGAAAAGGCTTTGTAATGTCACTATGTAAAGTGGTAAGACTTCATTAGATCAGGTAGTAGAATAGGCATTGACACAGATTGGTCCCTGGTGAAGGTGAGGATCTAAAATGAAACAGGGTGGCAGCGGGTGGACGCTGCTGTACTCACCGGGATCTTGTCTTCACTCGTGGACGTCTGCATGCTGTTGTGCTGGAGAGACACAGAGAAGTAGAAGAAGAACAAGAAGGAGTGAAAGTTGGATTTCCTCTGAGAGAAAAACCGACGCGTTCACCATCACCACCTTCATCCACATCGTGCCCACATGACACCTGAGGTCAGTCCGGTTAGTCCAGAGTCCAGGAGGAGAGACGGCTGCTCTGAGCCACGCTGCATTGTTATTATTATGTTATACAGGAGAGGGAGAGAGAGAGAGAGTGTGTGTGTGTGTGTGTGTAGAGTCCAGCAGCCTGATCACACGCTGGTGATACCCATCTATCACACTGTGTGATCTGGAGGCTGCCTGCGCACCGCCGGCGCGTTTGGCACGGAGCGTGCCACACTGTAAAAAATGTCCGTCTGCAGTCATGTCACATAGGTTTGAATGCCAACACTCAAAAAAAACACTTTCACTGAAGAGAGTCCACTTCCAGCCAACTTGTGAGGTTTTTTAAATCACCTGACTAAAATAAATTGCAATAAAATATGGAACCACTCAAACCTCTGGAGGTTTCTACTTTCTACTGAAAAAGTATTGGGTGCTACTGTGGGTTCAAAATAAGACATCAATGCTGAAATTGATAAAAAAAAAATACATTTGCAGTGAAGGGATTGATTTAAAAAGTTGATGTTAGATATGTTGAAGATCTTCATTCACCTCCAATAGATTCATTAGTTGCTGGAATACATATTAATCGGCTGACTGATCATTCTGGCTCCTGCAAGTTTATAATTTTGCCTTATAATTTATTTTAAGGGAAGACCGATAAGTCACTAGAGATGTACTTTATTCTAATCTATTTTTACTGTGTTGCACTTTGACCTGTGATGTAAGTTAAAACAGGAAATGCCAGGCTGCTTTATTACTCTGGAGGCAGAGCTTGTTTATTATAACTATTATTAGTATTAACAGTTCATTTTTCAATATGTCACTTATATATTCTTCATATTTCCTCATATCTTCATTGCTGTAAATATGTGTATTTGGATGTTTGTTTCTATTGCTCTAAATATGTGTATTAGTTTTGGATTTGTTTAACCCATGGAGCGAACAGGTTGGGTTTGTGAAGTTAACAGAACACTTGTATCTTTATTTCAAGATGTGTGTGTTTTGCACATTGGACAAACCTTAAAGAAAGAAGTTTATAATGTCTGTGTAGACAGCAGGATATTTTTTGCAGTGTGGAGAGAGAGGCAGCAGCCTCTTTGATTAAATAGCGCACTGATGTAGCTTGGAGACAGACAAGGGGGTTTCTTCCTTCTCAGTGGCTACATCATAATCACAGTGACCATCTATAAATTATCATGGAGCATTTGCTTTTGTCCCAACACATATTATATCTCTGTCTGTCACAGCAGTGTTTCACAACTTTGTTTGACCCTTTTAAAGAAGCAACGTGTAGTTGTTATTGCCCACTCACCATGATGTGAGCAGAAGTTCTGAGCACTTCAAGCCAAAACAGACAAATCCAACCGATAGTTTAACATGTGGGTTCTTTAGAGGGATGGATGGCTGGTATTGTAACAATGCCCATTACACAGCAGCATTATGTGTCACATCTGCATTCTTCATTTTATTTTATTGTTATAAAGTCTAAAAACTTTGAAGCCTGTGTTGTCAATGTGAAACATTTGGTAAAGTCCTGTATCCTCCCTATAAGGGGGTGTGTCCCACCTCTACTCCCCCTTTCTGTTGTCAGTGAGAGAGTTATGTTAAATTTCATTCATTCAAGCTTTTGTATGTTAGCTTCACTGTTATTGTTTTTTTTTATTGGGTTTACACATACAGTGTATGTTACGCTATCAAATGCTAACCCTACTTCTCTACTTCGTGATGTCCTCATATGTAAAAATTGACCGGAGGATTTGTTTTTCACTTCGTTTGTCAGAATAAACAGAGATCACCTTCGAAGACATTCAGGGTCTCTGGCCTTTCCATTAAATAAATCCAACACAGACATCACCAGACACCACCGACTACAGTAGCATAGAATTAGATACCGTCTGTACAGGGTCTGTGAAGTGGGTTCGACTTCATGGGCTAGGGGTAAGGGGTTGTGGGAAAAGGGGTTTATTTATAAGTCAGTAATGATAAACATAATTTGTGTAGGAGCAATATGTATTTATATATAACGACAGTTTGTTTAGAAGAAAAAAGACCACACACACATGCACCACATACAGTACACACACTAACACCAGGCTTTTCCATTGACCTATTTCTAATATCATCCTTAATCCTCAACTGAAGTAATTTCTCTCTACAAACATCAACCTTGAACTGATACACTTCACTTCATGTCAGTGTGAAGTCCATTCAATTCATCCCTGTAAATGAGTTCCAGCTTTTATTTTTAAAGACTTCTCGAGTAAGGATCTTATTCTCTGAAATTATTGAGATGAGTTTTGCTTTATGCTAACTTGCAAAGTGATGCAATGCAGTGAAACACATCACACACAGGAAATATTAGATGTTTAGCTCAGTTTAACAAGTTGCTCATTTTTGAGTGAGAACAATGTTACATACACCCACCATTTCATTCTTTTCTCCTTTAGTCAGCAGACTTTGTGATTCCTCAGCCCACACTTCTTCTTTTTCAGGCTGAGGTCCTAGGATGCTGTAAGACATGTCCCTGGTCACGTGGTACAGGGCGTCGCTGTGGATGGAGGAGGACTCGCTGAGCACCGTGGAAACTCGGGCTGCACCGTTGGTCCATGACTCTGAAAGACATTTAGTTTGGAAATTAAGCGATGACATCCTGTGATGAGAGTTTCACTAAAACTCGGTTTCTCTGAGCTGGAGGTGCTACAGAGGTTCAGCCACTGTTTACTCTGACTTCACTTTAATCTTTTATACAGTGTGATAAACAGGAAACATAAGTAACAGCATGAACACTGAAGCCACCTGTAGTCTGGCCGACACAGGAAACTGTTTGCCTTTGCTTCTGCAAGAAACAGGATGTTTGCTAAAAGGACAGATCTGAGTCAACACGAGGATCATGAACTTTGAGGCTGCATCAAGTGCACAGCAACACTCAGGGCATTTGTTAGTTAAAGGTAAAAAAGAAAAAAGGTATCTGTCTAGTTTCGATTCATCTGCCTGCACAGACAGTTCATCTTATGCAAACTGTATTTCTATATGAGAAGTTATTGTTGAACACAATACACGAGCATTGATCAGACATAGGAAAGAGTTCCAGCAAAGTTCTTATGTGGATTTTCTATCACAATACTTAGTTACTACATTCGTTTGATGACTGTAATTAGAAGCTACCTTAAAAATAAAGATTTCACATGAACTAAATGTTGTTATACCAGCAGTACGATACATGGCCACTACGGTAAAATGCTTACACAGTCATGCTTCAGTACAAATAGAATAGAATAGACAGTTTCAATAGTTAAAAACTGAAAGGAGCAGTTTTTCTTTATATCTTAAATCATAACACTCAAACTTTTGCATATGTTACTATTTCAATGTAGGACTTTATGTTGTTATCTGTACCACTGAGACAGTTGATTTCATTGTGCACTGTGCAGTGACAACAAAATCATTGAACTGAAAAAAACAATAAAACATATATGACACATGACATCATTGACATATTGAAAGAAGTTATGGATCTGACGACCTGTTCCTTGACTGAAGTTGCAGAGCCACACTTAATGTCCCACACACACACACACACACACACACAC